GTGCTCTCCCTCCGGTTTTATTTAACGGTTAATCGGAGAGGGAGGGGCTTTATTAGAGAAAAGCCAAGTTATTGAAATGACTTGGGCCAGTGAGTATTGTGATGGATTACGGAGGTTTATATAGAAGCTTTTTGGTTTCTAAATTTAGAGTGTTTTTGGTTGCGTGCATGGATTTTGCATGGAGGGAGAGATTTACGGTAGACGTATGGCTAAGAATATCCAGTCAAAAAAAGCTAATTAACTTGATAGACTTTTTCTATGTAATTGCTTAGTTGTGATGTTTAAAAATAGGTCACCACAAGATAAAATATCGCGCGCGTTTCCTGATTAGAATCTGTGGTGCTTGATTGACTAAAAATAANAAAGCATAGATAAATATAGATTTAGATAATAAGTGCGGTAATTAATAGTTAAGTGATATTCGCTGATTTAATTCGAATAGAGAAATGTTAATTTAGAGCATATAGACATACGAAGCATGTGTTGTGGTGAGATTTTAAATCCGCAATTCGACCTGCTTCAAGTGTTATGCTAAGTCGGACGATAGCAAATATATATGGGACTTTGAAAAAGAAACAAAGTTTAGACCGCATTAAAACTTCCATATAAAATTAGTCATATCATGGGCTATATATATATATGCATATTGAATCGGTTAATCATTGGTGGAAAAAAAAAGAATCGGTTAATCATTGAAGCATTGGTCTTTTCTCTTTTAGCTGATTGGTTAACTGGTACTCTATACCAAATTACAAGTTTTACACCAAAAAAAATTACAAGTTTACAGCTATATTCTAACAATTAAGAACTTATTTTAGATTCCTATGATCATAAAACGAGCTCTGCTAGAGTTAAATCAGAGCAATTCAGTTCGTTACACAATATATATATGATCTGAAATGTATTGCAACGAGTTACGAGTACATATATGGCTAATAATGCATAATTTATCTCACTAATTTATAATTGCAATCAACTATATACTATTTATTATGAATTGCGGGTACGCTTTAAGACGACCATCTATCATCCACGGTTTTTGTATATACACATAAACTGATAAAAGATAAAATTTCTAAGTTATTTTTTGTTTTCGTTTTATTGTAAAATATTTAAAGCTACATATATTATGTACTATGAAGAAAATCAATAGAATAGTCACTACAAAATAACATGGTTGTAGCGACAAAAACAGAATTATGGCAACGATTGTTATCATGCAAATGATGCATGACATCTACTAAATGTCTAATGGTCGTTGTATATTCGGCATTTAATCACAAATAAAAGATTTTGGAGAAAAGAGTAGTCTCAAATGTTTGTTTCGGCATCTAATCGTGAATCAACAAAATTTAAAATAGCTTGTTGTCCGGTATTTGTTTCAATAAAAATTTCGATTCTTTTTGCTTCATCATTGTAAAAAAGTCACAAATGTATAAATCCATTGCTGTTTTTTTAATTGTCATCGATTTAGATTGAGTTAAGGGATAACTTATGGTAAACATGTAGAATCAAGAAGATAAATAATGCAATATGAAAGCGTATATACACACATAAACATTATACCAAATAAGTAATTAAGTTATAGTTTTATTAGATAATAATCACGTTTTTTCCATATCCTTTCCAATCACAAGGTCCATACATGATTATAATCCATAACATATTAATTACAAACATACATCAAAAAGGAACCTTTCTTTACAAGATTCCTAAAATATTTTGAAGAAGAAACCCCAATCGATGCAAATTATTCATCACCATCGTCGACGCCATACATTTTTTTCTTCTTCTTTCT